GGCCATTTCGCGGGCTACGAGGAACCCCGGGCACATCGAATGCGTGATCACGCCATATTCAGTCGGCGGTTCCTACTTACCGGCCTTACTGGAAGACAGCGGAAGATGGCGCAACCCGAGGTACTCCGCAACTAACGCAAGACCAGAGAGCGTACCTACCGTGACTATACAGTAGCAATGCAGGGAATCCGAGCGGCTTGGAAGTAATGCACCTAGTGTTGACGAGAAAGCGCATTTCAGGGACGGATGATCGTAGGTAGGATCTGACAAGCAAGGTACGGCTACCGCTTCCGGCAGAGAGCAACTCTTTCAAAAACAACTGTTCGTTAAAGCGGCCGAAATCATAAGCCCGAGAAGTCGCCCCGCTGCCACTCTGCTCTATCGTACGACTGCTCTCCGATCTCGTATAGCTTTTGACATGTTTAAGGCCTTGTTCACCGGACATTGACAAGGCTCAGCCCGGTTGTGATCATTCGGGGCGACAATCTCGACAACATCGTGTCCCTAGGGTCAGCTAGCAATCCTGCAGACGTGTCCTGACAAAATTCACGACTGTCACTGGGCTGTCACTTTGCAGAGCAATGGCTCTTCGAATAGGCAACGACGACGGACGACTGGCACACTGGAGATGGGAGGGTATCAGGCAATGCGTTCTGTGACGTCTTCCATGCCTATGGAGTCTAGCACACCCTGATTGAGACCCGATAGGCGATGCGCCCAAAGGAAGATACCGTCCAAACCCCCACTCGCCACAGACTAGTAAGCTGCCTTCAGCCCTTGTCTGCCCTGTTCGAAGAGTAGAACCGGAGCATGGGTCAGCGGGACTACGTGTGAGACAATTGGCACGAATTCTGCTAACGATTACTATATGTGGCCACTCAGATACTTCCACAGGGAAATCCCTTCTACAGATGGCTGTTCTGTGTCAGTTAATCGCGTCAGCTTCATTCCATGGTCCCACGCCACCACCATCACACCGCGACCGAGCCCACAACGGCAAAATCCTGTGAACAGCACACGCTTCATCCGGTGGTTGGACACGATGGCTGTCTCGTTGACGGACAAAGATGGATGCAATAGGCACAAGGCTTCACGCTCTTAGAAGTCGAGGCGGAACGCAGCCGAACGAAGTGACGAGGAACACTATTTGCTCTTGCTTGATCGCAATCTGTACATGCGGCCTGCAACATCTTCAGCAAAGTGCCATCACAAATTCGCCACGAGCGGCATTCCGAGCACGAACCGTGGATCTCGCGTGCCACGTCAACCGTCCTTGTCAATGCGCGTTCGCCGTTGTTGATCGCGGCAAAATGCATGCAGCGCATCATATGCAGGTCTTGCTAAGACCCAGTACCTGCTCTAGTCTTACCAACTTCTTCCACAAACGCACCTTCACAAATGGTTCTGTGAAAAAGTGAGGCTTCGTAATTTCCGAAGTCGTAACCCTGTTTGCCGATCCGATTACGCCCTAAGCCGGGACGGACACCACGATGTACTCCTGCCGACTGCGCGGCGTTCGGTAACACCAGTCGACACGGCATGCGTGAATGACATGAGTGAATGAGATTTTTGGAAGCAAGGCGACCAATAGAAGTTGTGGTAGAAGCTCGTGCGCTTCAGATGCCGATCCTTTGAGTTGGCGAAGCGGCCCACTTCCTCCCTTGACTTTGCTTATTGCGGAGCCGGAGTCGTGAGCCTCACGAATGTCTTGACAGTTGGCTGGAAGCCCTCCTCTGCTCCACCCCTCGAAGGATCTGGTTTTTGTTCTGTATTGTCATCGATTCGAAGAAAGAGGACGCACATGGACGGTCTGCTTCAACTTGGATGCTGACGAGGTCCAGCTACATCTAGAATACCGAACGCCATGCGTCAACACTCGCCAATCTAGTCTTAAATCTTTACTGCATCGTCTTCGTGTCCAGGAAAGGCTCAGACGAAAGAATACGACCTATCAACGTTTGCCGCATACGGTCGCGCTCAAGCACTCGACAAACACGTTCCGATAACCCAGAGACTGGACCGCGCAATACTATCAGACTCCTCCTGGATACACGTACCACGATACAGATATAACGCAGGTGTCCTTAGCATGACCTTCGAGGTTACAGCTGTAACGCCCGAACGCCCCCGAACCTAGCCAGACTGCTACGACGTACTCTCCTCAAGCCCGACAACCACGCGTTGTCTATCGTATCGTCTCATACACGAAAAAAACCTGAACAGGCCTGCGGACTACATCAAGACAAAATCCACCAAAGTGGTTGACTCAACGTCAAGGTAGGCTCCAGGGTGTGCAGCTTTTCCCCAGACCGGCTTGGTGTGGTTCAAAATACTCTTGGTCATGCGTAAACGACTTAAATCTGTTGGTAAATCACACAAAGAGCTAGAGCGCGTTACCAAAACCACAATGGTGATACGACTTGTTCCTAGCCGGTCGGGCTGTGCTCAATGGGGACTTTCTTCGTAATTACACATTAATAGATTGCTAGTTGAGCAAGCCCCGGGTATCATTGTACAAGTAGAAGGCTAAGAGATCCGATGCAATGCCTTCGCTACGATGGCGTTCTTTCAAAGCCTTCTCCAAGGGGAGACGAATCAAACGTACTTACCTTCTAGTAGTAGCTCCTGTTTCGACTTCTCGGGCAGCAACGGAAGAGATTCCTTCTGTCGCATGTTCGTACTCCGGTCGCTGAGTACAGAAGTGCCCGACGAGCGCGACTTGTTCGACTTGGAGGACTGCGGCGACGCGAAGTGCTGACTGGCCGGTTCATCGCGGAACACAGGCGTGCGCCGACCGATCGTCTCCGGGCTATTGGTGTCGCGCTGATGAGCCTGCGTGATGGTCTCTGCTCTGTCATCGGGCAGGGCCTCCGCCTCAGTGACCAGTGTCCCACCAACTTCTTGATCCTGCTGACCGCGCGCGACTTCCGCCTCAATGGACAGAGCCCCGTCGCGTACGAGTCCCCCCTCAGCGCTCACCATCCCATCACGTACAACCTCCCCCTCCGCATCCAGCGTCCCCCCAGCCTCAACCCACTTCCTCATATGCTCCTCCCTCAACCTCTCCCCAAACCCCGTCCACCTCACCCCAACCCTCATCGGAATCCTGCCCGCCCTCTCCAACGCATCAAACCAATCTCTATGCTCCGTCCAAACCAACCTCCTACTGCATTTACTCGTAGTCGGCGATCTCCCAACATCAGCGACATGCTCAAACAGCATCTTCGCCGTCGGCGTGTCGATATCGAGGTTATCCAAAATACTAGCCTTGATATCGCGATCAAAGCACAGCCACTCTACCACATTATCCCCCGTGCGAAATCCGAGCGCCGAGCCACCGAGCTGGAAGACATCAACCAGGTAGCCGACTTCGAGACACCCCGGTGGGGTTTCATCGCCAGCCGGAACGGGTTTCTTGCAGAACGGATCGTCGGATCGGAGCGCGCAGACGAAGCCGTGGGATGGACGGTTGAGCAAGGAGCGTAGTTTGGTCACTGAGATGAAGGAGGCGTGGTAGTGGTAGATGGCTACATCATTCTTTGCGAAACGGAAGTATTGCGCTTGTTTTAGCTTGTTGCCGTTGGGTCCTGGGATGGGTTTGGGGCCGTATGTGCGTGGTTTCTTGGGCGTTATGGGGCGGGGTTGCTTGACCGGCTTGGGTTTGGATGGTCGGGGGTGCTTGTTTGGAGTGCCTTTAGGTCGGGTCATGGCTTTTTCGTTTGTGATTTTGCGGCGGTCTTTGGGCGGGAAGGGAGGGCGAATAAGAGGGGAGGAAAGAGGGAATTGATTGCTGGAGGAGGTCACATGTTTTGGTCATGGAGTGTTGTAGCAATGGGGATAGTGTGCACGGGGATTTAGGCTACTGCCGCTAGAGAGGTGCTAGATTCAGGGTCTGGTTCACCGTGAAAGTGAAAAAAGAGAAGAGGGGCGTGTAGACTGGCTGACAGGAGGAGAAGCTGGGCGGCCTTTCCAGAGCTAGCTCCCGCGTTCGCAGTAGAGCTAGAGCATGAGGTCTGAGAGTTGGTCTGGCTCTCCGTCACTGCTTATTTTGGGGTAATGCGGAGTGGACATGCTGATGTTATAGAACTTTCATCAGCTTTGGTAAGTCGTGGTTTGGTAAAAGCGGTGTGTATCGCGGCAGCTTATGGGTATGTCGCGCGCACGAAGGTGTCGCTGTAGCTTTTACACTACATCAAGATGTGGATCTCGTATAAATTGATAGATCAAGCTCGGATAGATTAATACAGGCGTCGGAAGTAAGGTATGAGACGTTCGGAGTAGTCGTCAAGCTCCTCCGTTGGTGTCAAGACATCGTATTCGCCAGATACAAGCTAGTGTATGGCATTTCCAACTCTTGTCCGTCTTCCGCGCTTGCCAGATCTCGCAGATTTGAAAGGTTGAGAGCTACATCCTGGCAGCGGGCGACGCAGTTTCTTGGTTGAACTCGATGTAGGAGTCCCACTAGAGTCGCAGGTTCTTGTTGCTAGTGAAAGCAGCGTTGCCGCATTTGTAAGTACCTCTGTCATCCTCGGGGGCGTGTAGTAATGTCTCATAGCTGATGTCTTGGTTATGAGATGAAGAAAGCGACCAAGTGATCAAAGGTTTCCCACTGGTTGTGAAAGTAGAGAGTGTTCATGGCGGGAGTTGGCCATTGCACGTTCAGCGCGACAGAAGCGGATAAGTCGGGGAAAGACCGCCTCGTTATCTACACTCCAGCTCCCTCACTTTACCTCCAGTGAAGGAACTAGTAGGCGCTGCCGAGCACTGACCTATGCTCATTGAGTGCACCAAATCTATACGTCTCTCACTTCTCAACCGTTGTTTCTTGTTTCCGCTATCCCATTGACTATTCCAAAACATGCGGATCTCGGGGCTCCTCGGGTTAGCAACCCTCATCTTTGCTGTCGCAGGCGAGGTTTGTCAAAGGTAGGTATCGTGCCTCTAGTCGAGTTGTTGTTCTGGTTACGTCCTTCTATCAAGTACCACATCTGTTTGATTACATGTCGCTGTAGTTGACTCAGACTCTAGTTGCCCAAACAACGACCTTCTCGCTGTCAATTTTACGATCCCGGGTGAACTTGATAAGATCCTTGTTGCCGGTGACCCCGACGATTCGGATTCACCATCAGACGTAACAGTGACTCCAGCGCCCGACGCGTATTACGAGCATTGCAAGCAAAAAGGATGCGCCCTGGAATGGTCGATGCAGCACTCCAATAGCGAGGCCGGCGCTCAATTTGCACCTCCCCGCATGACCGCACAATCTCCCTTCCAAACTCCTCAAGACCTCCGAGACTGGGGATGGCATGACGGTGTCAAGATATCGCAAGCTTACGATGACCTCAGCAGCATCTGGTGGGGAGCTGATGTGGCACTGAAGGGCCTTCAGCTTCCTTGGAAGACAGATGCCCAAGAGGGTCCCAATCGTCTCACCATTATAGTGCACCAAGACCCCACTGCAGATATCAGTGTTAATAAGCAAACTTACAACGTCGACGGAAAAGAATACCGGGCTTCGGACGCTGATTACACTATGACTATGAATCTGCAAGATGGTGTTATCATTGCCATAAGTCGCAAAGGCCCAGATACGGCAGGCAAGGAGCTAGAGCCGCCGCTGGAACCAGAAGACATGCCAAAACTCCACCAATTCTCCGATGTTGGCTGGATAAAATGGAAGGCCATGGCCGAGGCGAATAATCTTCCTGTTAACAATCTTCGGTATTTCTTATCGCTTGGGATCGCGAACACACAGACGTTATCAGTGTGCGAGAGGGTTTTCAGGGATAATAACCTAGCAATGAGGAGGTGGCCTGGAGACGTTTTCCTAGCCGGCACATGGCAGTTCCGTGCTATCTTGGGTAAGTTGCACCCATCTTAGAGGGGTTCAGGTGTCTCGTAGCGTAATCGGGGCTGTGTCGTCTTCATTGCAGTAGAGCATAACCCCAAGGCTCACTTGAGACCACCGTCTTATCCTGGAGGAGTATCTCGGCTAACTCATGGTCAGGAACCCCGAACGTACAAGGCTTTGGGTACATGCTGGTTCAACACAAGGCAGATCTGGGCAACATGTTCATTAGTAAAATCCATGTTTTCCTGTGTGAAAACAACGAGGTTTGCATTGTCGCATTTGTGTCCCAACCAGTGGCCGCTCCAGTGCAAGATGCAATGGTCGGATCGATAGTCATCTCGGATCAGGTCGACAGACGCGACGAAGGAAGTAACGTCATGCGTCTCCACAAGATCTTCGCGAAGCTGTGAGAGCTAAGGAGAGCGAGTCAGAATATATGGGAGGACTGAGGATAGTTAGACCTTTGGCTGGTAGACAGACGCGATTGCCGGTCTTAGATCTGGATGGTCTTGGCTGCTTTGAAAGAGTGTATGCGTCCAACCTAATAACATCGACGATTGTCACATTCAATTCCATCTCTTTTGCGGTGTCGGAGTGCTCGATCCAGTCAGGCAGCTCGATCAACGCCACGCCTTGTAGCAAAAGTAAATCTGCTCAGGCGGCCAATGACAGAAGTCGTGGGCGCGTCGAGTCGGAGCGGATCCGGCAGCCGCGACGCGCGCGTGTTGTTTTGAGGGGATCCGAATGCAGGGAAGGAACTTACATATACCACCTCATGCCCCATACTGCGTCGGTCCTGAACTTGCACCGCTCAACCGCAAACACTCGCCGCCGATCAAGTGTCATTGCAGAAGCCATGTCGTGCCATGACCACGCCAATACGTCAAGCGCGGGCTCGCGTCATATGACAGGCGTGCCCCGCGCTGTAGGATGAGAGCTCGCGCATGACAGCCCACGAAGGAACATCTGCCGCCAATACGCCTGTGGGGTATTAGCCGTTCCACCGAGCGAGGTGCTGCTCGCTGGTCTGGGCCATGTTCAGCATTCTAAGATTAAAGAGAGAGAAATTCCTCGGCTTTCGTTACCCCGCTAGCGACTCCGTCGACTAGAGGCTGCCGTCTGCCCTATCAGCCGAGTATCTTCGCCGCATTGCGCAATCGGGACCGCGGCCGGTAGCGAAGAAACTCCCTCTGGACTCTCTTGGATTCGTCTTTCCGAGGTTATACCACACCACCCATTCGCCATGAGGCCTGCGACTACTGCGCCCGCCGCTTTCCGCGCTGCGACGTCCATCGCACGACTCCCCCGCCCAAAGACGTGCTCCTTTGCGACGCGCTGCCTAGCTTCCCAGACTGCTGCGAGATCGGCCCAGTTTTCGAGCCCGCGACGAACATCTGCAAACGGCGCACCAACACCAGCACCCAACCTATACACTCAGATTGGACAGTACAGGATGGCGTCTTCGCAGGGAATCAAGAAGATCCAGGTCAAGAACCCCGTGGTGGAGCTCGACGGCGATGAGATGACCAGGATCATCTGGCAGGTCATCAAGGACAAGTTCATCCACCCATACCTGGACATCGACCTCAAGTACTACGACCTGGGTCTGCCCTACCGTGACGAGACCAACGACCAAGTAACGCTCGATGCCGCCGAGGCTATCAAGAAATACTCTGTCGGTGTCAAGTGCGCGACCATCACCCCCGATGAGCAGCGCGTCGAGGAGTTCAAGCTCAAGAAGATGTGGCTGTCGCCAAACGGCACCATCCGCAACCACCTGTATGGCGCACATTGGAATAAAGGAGAGGACATGACTGACAACACATTCTAGAGGAGGAACCGTCTTCCGCGCGCCCATCGTCATCCCCACCATTCCCCGACTCGTGCCTGGCTGGAAGCAGCCCATTATTATCGGCCGTCACGCTTTCGGCGACCAGTACCGTGCGAAGGACCGCGTTATCCCCGGCGAGGGCACACTCGAGATGGTCTTCACACCCAAGGGCGGCAAGCCTGAGGTCATCAAGGTCTACGACTTCCCAGCGGAGGGCGGCGTCGCGCAAACCCAGTACAACACCACCGAGTCCATCTCCGGCTTCGCACACGCTTCTTTCAAGATGGCGCTCGACAAGAAGCTGCCGCTGTACATGAGCACCAAGAACACCATTCTCAAAGCATACGACGGCAAGTTCAAGGATGTCTTCCAGGCCATCTACGACAGCCAGTACAAGAAGGAGTTCGAAGCTGCCAAGATCTGGTACGAGCACCGCCTCATTGACGACATGGTCGCCCAAATGATCAAGAGCGAGGGTGGCTACATTATCGCCATGAAGAGTGCGTATCCATCCTACTAATATTCTGACTTCGCTGACATTCCTAGACTACGACGGAGACGTCCAATCCGACATCGTCGCCCAAGGCTTCGGCTCCCTCGGCCTCATGACCTCGACCCTCATCACCCCTGACGGCAAGACCTTCGAGGCCGAAGCCGCGCACGGTACCGTCACCCGCCATTTCCGCGAACACCAAAAGGGCAACGAGACCTCTACCAACCCCATCGCCTCCATCTACGCCTGGACACAAGGTCTGGCCAAGCGTGGTGAGCTGGACAACACGCCTGAGCTCGTCGTTTTCGCCGAACAACTCGAGAAGGCTTGCGTGGACACTGTGGATATCGACAAGATCATGACTAAGGATCTGGCCCTTGCGTGTGGAAAGAAGGACCGGGCGTCTTGGGTCACCACCAATGAATATCTTGATGCAGTCGAGAGGAGATTAAAGTCGAGCTTGAAGGAGAAGCTATAGATGTACAGAAGTGTTGAATAGTCGCGTGGGATATTCCTTGCATCGGATCACTCGGTAACAGCGTGAGACCTAGACCTGACCATGTAGACGGAGTTCTGCTTACTCTTGGGCAGGGATCGATTGTTCACAAATTCAATTGCGCCTGTGCATGTCTTCCTTTGCCAGTGAGGCGCGAGAGCGCGAGGCATCTTTTTTTGGTAGGGAGCTCGTGCCATGTCGTCTCCACATGTTCCCGGAGCACGTTGCTTTTGATGAACTGGGTTTACGCTAATTTCCGATGAGACCCAAATCCTCAAAAAGAAACCAGTCTCTTGCATGTCTCACGGCAGTATGCATATGCGGAATGATCTGATGTTTGTTTGTTACACAGCTGATTGCAAAACATTTGTCGCGACTGTCTTGTTGAATTCCTAAGGCTTGCATACCTTGCATTCCGTTTAGCAGCTCTGTGTTGGGCCCTCTTGATCTCCTCGACAGTTGCTGGCCGTCTCATCCTAGACGGGATCACATGATGGAGGCGTTCACTGATGCTGCTCCCGGGACTAACCCGACTAAAGCCGCTAGGACCTACAGTGCGAGCCCGACCACCACGCCAGCCTCTGTACCAAATGACAGCGCAGGATCTACAGCCACCATTACCACAACGTTTCCGTCGCCTAAAAAGCACGGCAGTCCCTCGACTCCCGACTCTACTCCATTGCACCGACGCTTTCTGCGAGCAGTCTCGATGCCGCCTGCGACACCGTCGCGTCCGCCCATGGAGAGCCAGAAATCTTTCGAGAAGGCGCGCGACAGCCCAGTCGTAGTTCGCCATACTCCTAAGAGGACACAACCATCGCCGATGAAGCTCGAAGTTGGCCAGGGCGCGTTCTACTTCTCAATTGAACTGCCCCCCAACAAGATCACGCCAAAGAAGAGCGGAACGACAAGCAAGAGCCAGACGCCAAAGGGAGAAGACACGCCCACGAGGACGAGGACGCCTAGCCCGTTGAAGAAGGCGAGCCCGACGAAAGAGAATGCAGTGAGTACACCCACGAGGGCGACGCGCAGCCCACTCAAGCGTGATGAGACGACCAAGCAGAGCCCTGCGAGGCCGGTGTTTGGTACGCCGACGCGGGCGAGGATGCACAAGCAAGATACAGATCCACGAACTCCTGTTCGGACAACGCCCAGCCCGCGAAAGAATCACAGCGCGGTGAAGCAGAGTCCTGCCAAAATAGCTACTGTCACCCCGAAGAGAACGGGCTTGCTCAAGACACCTGGAAGTAATCGACCTGGAAGTCCCATCAAGCGCTCGATTGAACAAGACGACTCACCCGTAGATCCGCTCAAGACATCTGCACGCCTGGCGAGGGAACTCCTATCAGGGCCAGAGGAGACACTTCGAATGCCACCCGAACGTCTTGTGGACCTGAAGGACGAGCACGCTCCAGTAAACTTGGTCGCGACTGCCACAGACTCAGCCCCGCACCACGAAACCACGAGGCAGGCGCCACCAGCGAACAAGTGCCCAGAAAACATCGGACACCTGATGGCAAGCCTCATTAGCAACACTACCAGCACGCGTGACTGGGGAACCGCCTACAACAACGACATGATCTCCCCGATACCGACGCCATTACGCAAGGCCTCTGAGAAGCTCAAGCTGGGAGAGTCGCCTTCTTTCCTGCGGATGTCGGCCAATGGTACGACCGCGATGACCAATGCAGACCCTGCTTCCGATGTCAGCAAGAGCGGGTCTTTGAATCTACATGAACCTGCGTCAGTCGACCCAGGACAGGATAAGAGTAACCAGATTGAGTCATCGTCGTCTGGATCAACCGAGGCAGCTCTTCCCTCGTCCATCACCACAGATCATACTGCGGACGTGTCAAGCGAACCGCGACCTGCACTTCCGTTACGTGCAGCTAGTCTGGGGTCTTTCAACACCCTGAACGCGACTCGTGAGGCACCAGCCCCACCACATCGCCCGCTTCTATTCCCAAAGCGGAGGTTGGAGACCCTTCAGAAAGAGCCATCACAACAAGAACATCAGGTCAGGTGGCAAGATATGGAGACTGCTTCTCCGAAGCCCCTACCTGCAAGCCACCAGAGGCGAGTGGGGACTGATCCAAGTGTACTTTTGAAGATGCAAAAGGACATGGCTAATTTGGAAGCGACAATGCGCCGCTCGGCAGGTGTTGTCGACCCTGCCTTTTGCGGTCCGCTCAATCTGAACGAGCTCCCTGCAATGTCGAACGACTACTTCGTTAGAGGCCAGCACGATATCAGAAGCCCAGGTGTTGTTGGTACACCAAAAACCCTCAGTAGAGCCAACTCCGACAACCCATCGATTGCGACTGTACAAGCGAATGGAGTAAGAGGTACTAGCAACTCACTAGCATCGTTGAGGGTCTCCGGCACGCCAGGTATACCACGATTGAAATCTAGTGCTCCTACCTCAGCACAAGCAACGAGAGACCGTCTTCTTGCAGCTAAGAAGGAAAACACTCAGCGTGCGGGTGCGACTAAGGCTGCGGTTCCCGAAAGATCCCGCCCTCGATCAAAGACCACAGTGTCAGCAACAGGCAAGTCGGCTGCGGTCACTAGCACACCTCGCAAGACCCCAGCCACTCCGGCAAAACCCGTGGCACCTCCAAGCACAACAACACTCAGCTCTCCACACAGCCGCATACCATCAGTGAACGCCGCTAAGCCCAGGATGCGAACACAGTCTGTCCCTCAAGCTGGATCGAAGCCGCTTGCCAGTGCCTCAGGTCATAGCAAGGCCGTCGCAGCTTTGAAAGAGCGTTTACCAAACGTACCAACTGCTCCCATCAACACCAGACCTGTTCCAATCCGCAAAGCTGTGGTCCCCTCCACTACAGCTACTCAAGTTCCTTCGGCGGGTCCGCGACCGTATGAACAAGAGTTCGCTAGCGCGGGAGACATTGCTGACCGACTTGCTAATTGGCACGACGAGGATCGGAAGAAGGCACAGATCAATCGTCCGACGGTCGCAGCCAAGAACACGCCAGCGAAGATACAGGCAGGAGGCCAGGCGGACGAGTCTACTACACCAGACGGCTCACCTGCGAAGGTCCTCACACCCGCCAAGGTCCCTGCATCAACTAGGACTTCCAAAGTCCCCCCTCAGACCAAAGACGTCAAGCTAAGACCTCTCTCGACCAAACCCAGTGCACCATCAACGCCTAGATCTAAGCCCAGTGCACCGACTCCAAAAACGCCAGCGCCGAAGACTCCAGCTCCAGCGCCCCGCAATGCGGCTGTCCACAATAACAACCTCAGACAACCCATTACCGCGGCCAAGACCCCAGTAAACCGCCGCATACCCGTCCTAGACCGCAACGCAACGCGCACACCGAGTAAGGCCATCGTAAGTAGTCTGGATCAAGCGATTGATAGGAAGATTGCAGAGGACGCGAGACGTGGGATGGAGTTTACGCCTGGTGGGAATCGGCTGAGAGATTTGCTGGATGCGAAGTCGATGAATGGGGGTGTTGTGCAGGTTTTGGAGGAAGAGGAGGAGGTGTCAGGAATTGTAGGGTCACTACAGGAGTAGCGGGTATGATCGGTGGGTAGGGGCGCTATGTCGGTCTTCTGTCTTTCTTTTGTCAAGTTCTGGTGTTGTGTATGGCGTTTACTACTAGGGGGTATGGGAGGAAAGGTTCTACGGATGGTGTTTTAACAAGGAAAATAATGTAGACGGGTAGAAAGATAATGTACAACTGCTGTTGGAATTCCACATCGACCACGCCTGTCTAAGTTCTACTTCCTACTTCCTACTTCCTACTTCCTACTTCCTACTACCCTCCCTATAACTCTCCCCAAACACATCGCCTTCCTCATCAGACTCGCCCATCTCTTCATCGCTATCTTCATCACCGCCGTCATCACCAGAGTCCGAGTTTTCGCTCCGTCCCACTGTGTGACTAGACGTCTCACTCTCTTCGTCCTCAACCCCGTCGCTCTCGAAATCCTCCATGCTCTCATCTGAATCTCCTTCGCCCTCACTAGTCTCCTTTCCGTCATCTTCGTCTGCTACTAATGTAGAGCCAGACGACTCGGATCGACCCAACGTGCGACTAGACGCATCACTTCCTTCACCATCTCCACTATCTCCACTATCCTCGACATCCTCACTCATCGCGCCTTCAGCCAAGCTATCCCAGCTACGATTACGCCCAGAGGTTGTTGCGACCCCTTCTTCTGATGCGTTGTGTTGCTCCTCAGCCACTCCTTCACTTAGATCGTTCCGGCGTTTAGTAGCGTGCGTTGCGCCAATGCGAAATGAATCGTCTTGGTTGGATGTATCTACGGTAGGGGTGTAATCGTGGTATTGGCGCAAAGTACCGTTGGAGCGGAAGCTAGTGGCAATGAGAGGGCCGAAGGGGTTGGCGGGTGTGGTGTAGTTTAGTTTCTGGGTTGGGGGGTTGGACATGACGGGTGGTTTTGTTGTGATGGTGGTGTTGGAATGTGTAGGGCAGGCGGTTACTTGCTGGCTAGATCAGAAGGAGTAGAGGATCTTATGTATGCCAGGAGTACTTTGATAAGAGACAGGGTCTTGAATTTGGGCTTGAAAGGTAGGACAGGAGCGTTCGAGGGTCTCATATCGATGTTTTGTTTAATGCAGACTTGACTTGGAGAAAAGACAGGTTTCAGTTCTGAGTATTAGACATTTGGGATAGGGCTACCATCTGTTGCATCTCACTCGATGACGGCAGGACTCCCCAAAGTTCAAGCGCCATCAAAAGAGTGGTAACGGAAATCTAGATCGTGTACAAATATCTCGGGTTATCCTCACCCATCTCAGCAATCTCCTCTTCAGTCTTGCCCTCAATCCTCCAGTCCTCCTTCCCAGACAGCTTCCTGTTGTTCTTCATACGGAAGTAGAAGTGTAGCGCAATGTAGATCGCGATACCGAGGGCTAGCAGCCCGATAGTAGCTCCGTAGCCCGGAATGTATGTTGGCGCGGTGTCGGCGGCGTACAAGAAAGGCGCCGCAACACCTGAGCAGTTACCGATGGTGATCTGCATACCGCTCGCAAAGGCTCGCTTTCCGTATCGGGGATTGTTGACAGCAATCCAGGAAAAGGCGATTCCGGTAGCCACCCATAGGCCGAGCGCGACGATGAAGCAGCCAGCGAAGCTGAGGCCAAGTCCCTATACGCATGTCAGTACAGTCGTTGGAATTGTGGAATGTTGAGGGCCTACCTTGTTTGCGATGAGGAAAATGTACCCGATCATACTAACAGCGAGCCCACCTATACAGTAAAGACCTCTGTTTTGCGACTTGTCGCTGAAGTATGCGCAGATGACGTAGGTAAGGAAGCCGCAGACATAGACGGGTATCGTCAACGCCTGAACCACTTGACGGCTCCATCCACCTCCGAGACCGTTGATGATGGTGGGTAGGAAGACGGAGAAACTGTAGAGCATGCCTAGTCCAACGAATTGTGCAATGGCGTAGGCGTAGACCTTCCAGTCTTTCACACCCTTCATAACATCCTCGCGCGCGAGTTCCTGACCAGATGTTGTTTGGCCGACTTCTTTCATTCGAAGCAGAACAAGGTTCCGGCGGTCTTCCTCGGTCAAAAAGCTGGCCGTCTCGGGGCTGTTGGGTAGGACGAAAGGTACGGCGACAGCGGTGATCACAGTCGGAATGCCGTTAATCAAGATGATCCAACGCCATCCGTTCCAGCCTGCTACACCGTCGAGCTCACCGATTGCGTACGCTACAACACCCTGTGCTTGTTAGAGCCTTTCTTTTGTCTCGTGGAGGCAATACTTACACCTAATCCACCTGCTAGTGCAGATGTACCATAGAAGCACGCTTGTCTCAAGCTAACGTTGCGCCGGTTGTAGAACATACTCAGGTAGAGAATCACGCCCGGGAACAAGCCGGCTTCGAACATGCCCAGCAGGAGACGGCAGACAATGAGTCCAGCGAAGTTATTGACAAAGCAGGAGAACGTGGCTACCATGCCCCACATGAACATGAGGCCTCCGAGATATCGGGCAGGTTTCATTCGCTTCAGAATTAGGTTTGACTAGATGTCTAATTAGCATGTAAGGCTAGGCTCTGATGAACGCCAAGCTTACCGGAGTTTCGAATATCTAATACACGATTAGTGGAAGTCAACAAACACTGGGTAAGAGCGACACTTACAACGTAAGTGACGAACAAGATGGATACCGCGATTTGGAACTGATTGCTATCGGGGTCCATGCCAAGATCCTCCTCCATCTTGTAGAGACGAGCATTGCCGATGTTGACTACGCGAATTTGTCAGTCTAGATCTCAAGATGAGCATACCGTACGCACCTCGATCCATGAAGTTCATCAGGTAGATCCAGCATATCATGGGCACGATCCGGATGTCCAGCTTCCTTAGCAGCTTTGCTTCAGTGACAGGATCAATGTCAATCATCGTGGCGGATTGTTCGATATCTTCGAGTTTGAGAGGCGGGTTTGGCGATGTGTCCGAACCTTTCTCGTCCCTGTACTCAGGTTCCGTGAGCACGGGCCCATCTTTGTTTGCGTTCATGCTGTCAACGAACGAAAACAAAATTGTGTGAGTGCGATCTCAAGTTGGAGGTGTTTCCAGCGGGGAGGTAAGTTGCTGTGATCGTCGTCAACGGACCAAAAAAGTATTGGAACCAGTCTGACCCTTATAACCCGAACACCTGGGGAAGGGTGCCCCGGCCCCATGGGGAAGCGAGATATGCCATGCGCTTGGTATACGGAGACGCGCCGTTGGCATCGATCAGGCAGAATCACCGAAGCGAGTTTGATAATCTCGTCGTCGAAGTGCCGGTAGCCGTTCTTCCGCCCTGGCGTGCTTGGAGGCTCTGGTTGAGGGCGCTTCCAAGCTTCTGATACTGGGGTAATTGGTGGTTAACCAAGACCTTCACCTCCTTGGATTATTAACCTGTTTTGGCAAGGCTGGACGCGGATCGCGTCAACGGGACCAGATCTTCGGTACGGAGGAACGGGTATCTTCTGTTGTGTAGCCTATCATCTTGCGTAACGCAAGGGTATTCGCAATCCCATGTGCCAGATGCTCGTAATAGCAGGTATGCTCAACAACTTTCCCATGTAACGTGCACAGACTCGAATGCCTGTCCGGACCTACAGCTTCTGCACAACTCTGAACAGCCGAACAATAAGACAATCTGCGCTTGAATACGAGAACAATATGCACAGAGTCCGTTAATAGTACACGACCGTGAATCGAGTGGAATGGCCTTGATCACTATCATGTTTGGTGTGTGCATGCTGCGATCCACGGCAGTACTCCTCTTGGTGCTGAGAAATGCCACGGATGCCGCATTTGATTTGACCGGAGGACGCACTGGATCTAGTGAGGAGTACTTAGTCCGAGAGATTGCATAGATATACTGCCTTCCTTTGCTCCGTGGGTGTTGTTGTCATGCTCGATACCAAGTCGCCAAGTCCTTAGCCTGCGTTGACGCGCTTGGCAGTTGTGTCCTATGCAAGGACGTCGAGCTTCTCCACACATCCAATGTTGCTACTGTATGAGGTAAGTGGGTATGACAAAAGATGATTCTTGGTGGTGAATGAAAGCATAATGACATGTCAGTAAGTCCAAGATGTTTCAACAGAGAACGTCGCAATGTGAGGCTCTTCGACAACTTTTCGTTCTTCTTGCCCAGCCGGATAGATCGGTATGAGATGCATCGCGGCTGCGTCTCTACAAATTGATTCGAGCGGGAAGGCTGAAACATTGCAGCAGTGCTGCGCCTCGGGCGGAATGCTAGATGCTTGTGCGACGGGCTTCTGCATTCAAGAGGAAGTACGCCTGTTGTGCAGAGCGGGCAAAGGGATGTGATAGACGGCCAAGCACCGAGCCGTTGCCCAGCATGAGGAGGATCAGTAGAGATATGGCGCCGCTGACGATGATGATGAGAGATGATGGATGAACGAAGGCGGAACCGCTGGTGGATGATGGGACGAGGCAGGGGCAGCGCGTCTTGGAGGGCGCGTCGCTTAGTCATCACGCCCTAAAACTCACGGCGCGAAGACACACCACGACTTGGAGATGCAGTGCTAAGCTCTCAAGACTTGCACATGAGATCCAAGGCACCATTCGACCGATTTAACCCCACGTGGTCATCCCTGCTCGCCATGTGTTCATTGCAAGAAATCCGTTTGAAAGGCCGCGGTGAAGTATTGGCATGTAAGAGGGGAGGGTTCATGTGCTATCCTCTAATGCTTTCATACAGCCACTAGTGCCCTGATGATTTCCTCCGTTACTCGGACACCTGTACAGATCTCTTCTTCGGTCTCCAGGTTCGGCACATAGAAGAACACAACGTCTCGTCTACCAATCCGTTTCTGCATCTCGAGTAGACTCGTGTAGTAGCTAAAACCACACACATACGAGCCCACATCATTGCTGAGCCTTACGTCGACAGCTGGTCTTGATTTCTCCTTTCCTTTCGTCTTCGGAAGGCCGATGGAGGAACAAGCTTCCATCCATATCTCAGCTGCCGCATCAATATCAACCGTCGTCGCCAGAGATCGTGACGCTTTTGCAAAGGTCTTTTTGAATCTACTCTTGTAAAGACCCGTCTCTCGATATCTGGGATGTTTTGATATCCATCTCTTAGGGCACTACGTTGGATTTTGGGTGCGTGGACTATTTGACTACGCTGGGAGCGACGCGTATGGAGCGCATTTGAATATCGTGAGATGGCTTTACGCGTCACGAGAGTTAGCAGGCGCATGCAGTATTTCTGTACGCGTAAAGCTTTGAAGGGGTAGGGTGCTGATGCTATTTCGCGAAGTTGGTGTTGGAAGCGTGAAGCGGTGGCGCAGCCGGGATGACATGGGTTCCCCACGTCAGACATGCAAGGTCCGGTAGCGGTGCACTTTGATTTCGAAGAACGCAACCCTCGCAAAAAGTATACTCTTGGTTTGACTCATACCCACAACCTCCCAGACATAATGCGCTGAGTTCGATACTCGCCCCCATCAATTGTAATTCCTTGCAGCCTCACTTCTCGCGTTCAGCAGCTGGCGGCTCTTTGTGCAAGTCTGACTCGCACCGCCCACCATGGCGAGCAACGGCGTCAATGTCGCGCAGGGTGAGCCGACCAAGGTCACCATCCTGGGCAAAGACTCGATAGTCGTCGACTACGGCATCTGGCAGAACTACATCGCCCAGGACCTGCTTACCAACATTCCCTCGTCGACGTACGTCCTCATCACCGACACCAACATCGGCCCTCTCTACACGCCCACGTTCGAGCGCGCCTTCGCGTCCGTCGCATCTTCGCTTCCGTCCTCCCCACGCCTCCTCACCTACCAAATCGCGCCCGGCGAGACGTCCAAATCGCGGAATACCAAGGCAGCCGTAGAAGACTGGCTGCTGTCGCAAGGATGTGTGCGCGACACCGTCATAATAGCACTGGGCGG